GATCCAAAATTTGAATATAAGAATAAAAATATAAATAAAAATTGGTTTTGGATTTCAAACCGAAGAGTCAATTAGCCCTGGGAAGGCAATATTTACTCTAGGAGTAAGCGGATTGCGATCTGCTAACTCATACTTGACTCTTGTAAACAATGAAAGGTCGGTGACCGAGAGTACGCTTCCTCAAGCGCTAAGCTACGACAGCCCCGCTGCATATTTAGTTTAAATCAAACGCAATATTTCTGCGGCGGAGTTGCCGTGGCAACTTGCGCAGAGAGACTATTATTACCACGATCCCCCCCTGGTGCGATCGATGTACGGGGCCGCCCGTAAGACGCGAGGCCATGAACTTAGTGGACTCTTGCCTTGCTAGCCACGCGCAATAAATTAAGCGGGGTTTTATCATTGGAGTAGAAGGAATATACACGGCGTCATTTTTAGAATTTATTCCATATATAACACTTATTCGAGGGCGGATGAGTATTAAGTCTGTGGGTCCGCCGCTGCCCCTGACTCGTGATGTTGAAGACCTTAGTCCTTGCGATCGCCGCTTTAACAATATGTCATCAGGGGCGAACAAGAACAACACACGGAGATAATGACCTACCTTTGTTGAGCGGGTGATGATTTTAATCATTTTGCTCTCCACCTGACCCAACTAAAATTGCTTTCGTAATTACTTGAGACCTAACCAGAACGCGATGATTATTGCGGTGCTTGAGTCGGCCTGACAGAACGTGTTAAGCCGACCTTCAATGTATATTAAACATTTTACTTCAAAATAGTTCAAGTTGTTCTTGCGAATTAATGCAGTCACAATTGCTCTTGATTTATTTTGCAAAAGCTCTCTAGCTTTTCCTCGAAACTGGTAAAACCAGTAAATTGCTTGGTCAGGCATTACCCGTAGGCGAAGATTGGAAGTATATCCGGCATTTTTGCAGTAGAGGACAAAGTCAAAGACTCGTTTTCTTATCGGGTTTTCTTGGAGCGCTCACGCGAACCAATGTCACTTAATATGATTGCCTTCCAGACATGGACGATTGACAATAACTGTACTATTTGCTTAACATGATGACAAACAAAATGCATATTGCTTCCACTTAGTAACATTGCTGCCGGTCTTGTTATCCTGGCCATCTAATAAGGTCGATAGAATTAGCCTAAAACGCTACAATGTGACATGTGAGGCGAGTATTTTTTGCCACTACACGAAAGAGTTATCTTAGAAGTCAACAGAATAGAAAATGTATTACCTCTTTATGAGTGAAAATGGCATGTGCACCGCGACGGGATTTGCGATGAAAATAGAGAAGAACGTTTCTTACCCTGTCGTAGTGCCATACCGTTCACCAACTACAAGAAGCCAGCATAGTGAAAAGAGCTGACACATGCTGAGTATTATAGAGCTAGGGGCCAGCTCAAGATTAATAGAATGCCTATATGGCTTGATCAAAGGATTAAAAAAAACATGTAGCTCCTCACAGATATCCAGCAGATGTCTGACAATAAGTTCTAGGATAATTGTTCTGATTACTTTATCGCTGATGCTATCAAAAGAAGAATTCCACGCACTTTGGAAAAATTCGAAAATTTTTGTCGGGAATGTCGACTACAGCACCCCACAACATTCTGTAATATGCAAGTCCTTGCTCTTATCTACCATATGTAGCAATTCTGCTCAAGTATACACGTATACTTGCAAATCGGTTGATCTCGATTTGATGAATACCACACCTCACCATTTTTTCAAACACGAAGTGTTTTTTTAATTTAAAAAGCAGAAATATGCAAACAGTCACTTAAGTAATTTTGGCGAGGGAACGTTGTTGGTTTCCGTAGCTATTGACGTGATTCTTAGTGGAGGTAGGGGAAAACTCACAATCGTTTGTATCATTTCTACAAAATACATTTTTACATAATAGAAAAAGAGCACAGTAAATTACTCATGAAAAAGAAAGGTACTTTCAGACAGGGCACTAATTCGCTGCCCTAACACTCAACATGCCGTTGCCGCACGCCGCTATACTGCTATACCGCTAAGTGAAGAGAGAGCGCAACAAGCCCACACGCCTCCGAACACACGTTATTTGCTGGTCTAATACCGGCTCACTTTTGCGGCACTAATGCCACTGCGCTCATCGGAGCTCCATGACTTGCGGCTTACGGTGCAGCATTCTATGAACAGAGAGTCTGAGATGGAGGCACACATGCGTCCGGAGCTCATCAAGTGTCCAGAGCTATTGCTCACGGGGCTAGAGCTCGAGATGCGAACGACATTGCGGATTCTACACAAAAAGGGCCGGCGGTTTGAATCTCCATGGAAACCTTTCTTCGTTGGTATATACGCCAATACGCTCTTCTATTTCACCAACTTGGGTGATTGGCCGCGCGGTATCGTACCACTTGCAGATGCGGAAGTAAAAGCTGTTGACCGCATTTATCGCCATGGAGACACGATGAGTGCCGGTGACGACTGTGGCCCATGTTGGAAAGTTACGTCAAGCAGCGGCCGCGTTTTGCTCTTTCGTGCACCCTCGTATGACGCTCGCGGCGAGTGGATCCGCCAGCTGTGTCAAGCTACTGGTAAATATCAGCAAAGCATGGACGGTAAAGCTGCACTAGCGTTAGCACGGAGACTGTCACAGCCGTCGACTTTCGTGTCAGCGTTGTCAACTTCGTCGACAGTAATTATGGAGTCGCCAAGACATCGAAGGAGAAGCTGCACCGTAGAAGACGATCTTGAGCATGCAGAGCTTTTACGCGATGCGTTTCGTGTAGTAGAGAAGCAGCAGAGAGAGATTGAAGAGCTTCGAGAGCGGCTGAACGAGGTGGCGGATAGGAGACATAACAAAACTCATAACGTAGGTGACGGTGGTCTTGTATCAAACATTAAAGAAACAGAGGTCGCGAAAGTCCCAAACACTAAGGGGAAGGGTGAGCAAGTTGAGAAGTCTTGCGCTGTTATTCAAGAAGGCGATCTGGAGACGATACTGGACACAGCTGCAATTGAAATTACGAGTTTCAGAGGCTCGGCCTTCTCGGATGTGCTGTCAGAGGATGATGCGCCAGAGGCTGAAAATGGGGATAATACTAGCGACAAGGATGAAGTAGCTGCTAGACTCATGCGAGAAGGTGGACGGGAGAATATTCAAAGTTTGAGTTTAGTAGACGAGTCAACAGAAACGACCTCGATGATTGAAACAGAGAAAGGCATTGACGTCAGTTATGATGCAACGAAAAACGAGACGGAGGGTTCCTGCCGGTTTAAGGTACTGGTGTCTTCAGGGAACTCTGAGGCCGCTTCATCTTTCTTTAAGCAAGCGACAGTCTCAATACCAAGATCTCATCAGGCGGTCTATGTTTTAACGCCAAAAGAAGAACTTTTGTGTGCAGATTCGCTATCACGGAAGCTTATCATGGAGGGCTCTGACTTGGCCTCGCCATATGACGTCAGTAAAAAAAAAACGTCTCATTTGAAATTAAAAAAATCTTATAGCAGCATTGGCATCGTTGAGTCAGATGCGAGTGCCGACAATGGCAGTTTACAGCAGCAAACAATGGAGCTTGTCGAGATCGCACGAAATTTGCAATCATCGCTGCGGACTGATTGTAAATCTTTGACGGTAGCTATTCTGATTCTCACTGCTTGATATGTGTCGGAATTCTGAGTTGACAATACTGACGTATTTTTCGGGCTCCGGCTGTAGACTTCCCTGGAAGCGTCTCCTTTATCTTTGTCGATTCTTGACAGTCGATCTTCTTTCTCTGGTATGTGTTGACGGGCTTCAAAAGTGCAGTCATGGAAATAATGAATGGACTTGCTGTGTATATAGATGTCACTGATTTCGGATTAAACCTCATCAACTCGAATGACAGTGATGAAAGCATACTTTCTATAACACAGGAGGACCTTTATTATGATGGCAATGACAAATGCGATCTTGAGCGTCTGTCCGAATTCGAGGAGGTCAGTGACGTAGAGTAATGTTTTTGCATATAGTAATCGTAAGTGCTGACACTCTATGTGTAATACAGTCAGACTGTCATTTCTTGGAGGCGAGTGGCTTCCTGGACTCGATTCATCAGGTCATGAAGGACCTGATTAAGTCATCTCAGTCGGATTCATCTAGTCAGCCAGACCAGTTGGTTATCAGCGATAAAATTATCGCCGAGATTTGCCAAGGTATTGAGGCTGATCCAGTCAAAGAGTTGGATGATCTTGAAAAAATTCACAGGCAGCATGACAAACAATTAGATTCGTCTGTCGCTGGCTCATTTAATACCTCAAGCCCAAGAAAACGGGGTCTCTTGTCCCATGCGAGATCGGCACGAGACTTTTTTCACGGAGACTATGACGCTGCTCCACAAGTTGTGTTGCCGCAAGCCTCAAAGAATTTTTTGTTACTGATCATCGAAGGCTCGATGTCCATTGTAGCTTCGATCTTACAAAGTTGTGGTCGAGAGGAGAAAGTAACGCTACTTGCTCCCCTTCTTCGAGTGTTCGGAAGTCACAATCGTCTCAGTCATCTCATTCGCTGGGCAATCGAAATTGAGGTTGCGTCTGTTATGAATGTGGCGACACTTTTTCGCTCTGATGACTATGCAAGTCGATTAATCTCCACATATAGCAAAGCAATTGGGTCAAAATTTATTCGTGTGGCTCTATCCGATCCTATCCGTCAAATTTACAAGCTTAAGATTGCCGACATTGAGTTAAACCCGCATAAACAAGAGTCGCTTCAGGATCATACTCAAGTTGACGCAAATGCTGCCAACTTGATGCAAACATGTCAAGGCATCATTGACTCGATTATCAAAAATGCCTTTAATGCAAGTACAATACCATTGCTATGCTTTTGATGACAAAGTCTGACGTTTGTGCTGCTAAAATTTTCTCACAGATCCCGTCATCCTATTTTCATATCTGCTCGCACCTGAATTCGAAAGTAATAAGCCGATTTGATGGGACAAAGGAAGGAATTGAGGCAGAGGACGCGTCGATGCTGACTCGGGTATAAATCGTTTGTGGATTTTGAGCAGCTGAATCTCTATCACTAACGCATATTCTATGTATAGTCTGTAATCGGAGGTTTCCTATTCCTTCGTTTCGTATGTCCCGCCATCACTACTCCGCATTTGTACGGTTTAGCAAAACATCTTCCACATCCTGAGACTCGCCGTATTCTCGTACTTGTTACAAAGCTTCTGTTTAAGACAGCAACTGGTGTGAAGTTCGGAGACCGAGAGCCCGAATTCAAGTACGTGTAGTCAGCGACTTGTGTGAAAAACTATGTTGATTACTTGTTTTTCTGATTTTAGAGTTTTGAATCCTTTTATTGAAAAGAATTCGCCAGCCATACAGCAGCTATTTGCCGATCTGGCAATGTCTCCTAGTCACGATATTGATGTGTGCTTTGCTATGGATAGCCGCAAGATTTACTCAAATATACCATCCTCCCAGTTGGTGAATGACTTAGAAATTATCCGCTCTATCTCGGAGAAGAACTTTGAGAAGATTGGAACGAAGCTTAAGGAGAGCAAATGTTCTGTGGACGTGGTCGAGGAGTTTAAGACGGCTGTGTTGTACACCACCGACTCTTTCCAGAAAAATTCTTTGTCGAAAAAGCTGAGTGCTAATATGAAATTCTTCAGCAGTTTTGGAATAAAGCCCAGGAATAGAAAAGAGTCGGATCATTGAGTCGCGTCGACTTAAGTGCTGTTGCTTGTGGACATCACATGTAAAATTTCGTGATGTACGACTATTGTATTCTAGCGTCTGGTAGATTGGTAGCAAACCGATGCCGACGGTGGGTTGAAAAGCCGCATACTATCATTCAAGACTTTAAGAGCGAAAATGTCTGAATACCGCAGCGTCAAGGAGAAAAATAGCGAATAGCCTGGTTCTGCAAAGTTTATATTGAAATCGGTATTTGTTTGAGTATCAATAATGTAAAAATGGGCATGTCAAGATGTAGCGAAACCCTTCCGATATGTGGTTAGATTACTTTAATTTTTATTTTTTTTATGTCTGATAGATTTCTAAATTTAGATGTAGATTGCGCGACATCTACGGCAATCTCTCTGGGCCTTTGGTCTGAGACGTTGACATGGGCGAAGAGCTAGACGTGGACATACATTTGCATAAACGATTTGGGCCACATTACAGCATATCCACTTTATTTCTAATTTCTGCATACAGATTGCCTTGTTGTAAGTTTAACAACATTAAAATGCAATCGCCTCCGGCTCCACCAAAAATTCGGCACCCGTAATTGTTTACTCCAGCTTTGAGTCTTATTATTTCTCGTGCCAGACACAATCGACCAATCGTGCCAACAAACATGACCACCCTATCAATCAGTTGGTGGTTCCGTTGCTTGGTGCGTCTGGCTTTCTGAAATTTAGTGGGTTCGCATTCGGTGCGATCGCCGAGAAATCGCTTGTTGATAAGGCACGGCGAGTGTGAGACAAAGAAGGGTTAATCTCTGCGGCGAGTCGCTGCTCCTGCTGCCGTTGCCGTTGCGCTACCTTTCGCTCCTCCTCGGACATGATGGCCTGAAGGCGACTAGACGTGTTTTGCAGCGCACCAAGTTCGGACTCTGACATATTTCTTAGCACTGCGCTAAGCGTGTTATCACTCATAGCGTGCATGAGATCTTCTTCCTTTCCAGGGGTGTGCATATCCGTCTCACTGCTGCTAGCCGTCAGAGCGTTTATAAATCGTTGCTGCTCGATAATGATCGAGCGCATCTGCTGAACCGATAGATCGTCATCGCGGTCGTCGTTACTCGAATTAGCTCGCAGAATATCCTCAATTACCACACCACGGCTCAAGGCATTGTTGTAAAGCAGCCACGTCTGGATTTTGCCAGGAACGTACATGGCCGCAAGTATTAGGATTAGGCTTAGCGACACCAGCCCCAGCACGGCGTCATGTACAAAGTAAAGTATGCCGACAAATCGCGAATTGCTACCCAGCACAAGTAAAGCCCAGCAGCCCACAGCAGCAGCGAGGTAGCCCATGCTTAGCACGGTCTGCCACATGCCATCTACGTAAATGAAAGCAACAATAAGGCCAGAGCTCAGCACTAGCGCCAAAATTAGTTTTAAAAAGCGAACGAGTCCGTTCTCGCCATGACGTGAAGAGGAAAAAAAGACTGCTTCTGCGCTGAGGTACACAGCGGCTATAGAGCAGCAAATGACCAACGGAAGCCAAGTCGACTCCGTCAGGACTGAATGATATTCATCACCCGTCGATGCCATCGAGAGAGCAATGAAGGCGTACAAAGTTCCCTTGATCGTTATGCATGCCTTCGACCACGGCCTGAGTGTCAAAAAGTACGCATTTTCTTCCTTGAACCAAGCCGCCCAAGACTGTTCCGGATTGCCACCATCACCACGCATCCATTTGAACCATAAACGAAAGTCCTCCACCACGTCAGACCACTCGAACGCTAGCGGGTTGAACCAGAAGGGGGACCAGTACCAAGAAATAAAGACCAGCCAGAGCGACCACGTCATAGCAAAGTACTGAAATCCGATCGTAAACTTGTAATAAAGAGTTAGACCAACAGCGACCTCTACAGCAGCATACAAGTGGCTGCTCGCATAAAAACGATAAAGTTCGTCGAAAGAAGAATGCTTCGTGACAAAACCACGACCCGTCGCACGATATTTTGCGCCCCCAGCCAAAATTGTCTGTCCGAAGTAAAACCATTTCGTGCCAATGTGGAAAAGGAAGTATAATGGGCCACCTGTCACGATGAGAACGATAATCTCGTTTAATGCAGCCTTAAATCCACGCTCAACAGAAATCGTTGCCAGCAACGGAGCAGTTGTGAAGAAGGCAACAGATCCGAGCATCATCTGTAATTTGCTCAGCAACACTAGGTCACGCCCACCAGCACCTTCCAATGACAGCAACGCACGAAACAGGTTACAATACAGCAGCACATACACCGTCCAGATAATGACTGACATTGACATATAGAAGCCCACGTGATTGTAGTAGAATGAAAGTAACTTTAAGAAGTCTAGGCGTTGGCTGATGCGATACACGTCACGTGATAGAGATTGTTCCGCAGCACCCTGCGCTAACTTGGCCTCGAATTTATAGATCTGCTGCATCCCTACATCACGTCCTTTGCCACACTTTGTGTACTCAGGGAAGATCACAGATCCGCCACGCATGCAGTTGTTGTAACCAGCAAATATATCTTCACTGAGATTAATGCCTTTGCTGGCCTTGCTTATACCGCCACGCGTTATGAACCAAAGTTTGTTAAAAACATCGGGATGACCGTAGTGTAGACGCATACGCAAAGGGCGTGCCAACGTACGCTGACTCAGCGTCACAAAGGATGTCTCCTGTAACGCCATATAGTTTGCCAGTGAGCTGACACTTCCCGTGAAAATGTGCTCTGGGATGCCTACAATTGTATATGGCCGGTCAGTCGTGCCTTTGTCGAATTCCTCCAAAAGATTTCGTACTTTTAGTCCCTCTTCAAGATACCCATCTTGATTCATGTCAATAGTCTGGAGATTTTCACCGCGAGTAAACACGATGGCTGCGTTTTGATTCTCTGGTTTACCCTCGCCCAAAATAGGGTTGCCAGGTAAACGCACACGATAGATTTCGTGCACCGAGCCGAGTTCTTCACCGCCCTTGATGAGGACCGAAAAGTATGATTGTTCTTTCTGATAGTTCACACGTACTTCATCGATGTATGCCACGCGCAAATTTGGAAACCGGTGAAGCAAAAATTCGATATCGCTTGCCTTCGGGTCATTGTTTTTTTTCTGCCGTCCATAGATTTGGCACGCTACGACGTACGTGAACTTTGTGTTGATTAACTCCTCAAGATTTTCTTGAGGAATTTGTTCAATATCTGCAAGCAAACGAAGGGCAGCTTCTCCGTACATCATACCCTGCACTGTGCGTGACAATGTTTGCCCACGCAGTGAAGCCCACATACGCAGCTCGATCGCCGTGTCAGGGTCTTTCCAGATGTTCTTCTTAGGTTTCACGCGCTCCAGAAAGTTTTCCCAGTCTCGCTTGTACAGTGTTTGCAAGAATAACAGCGTGTGCACGTCTAGGCCATCCTGTTTGCTTTCTAAATCTTTTCTGGAGTACACCACGTCTTCGGCATAAAAAGGAGTCATGACGCTCCATGACTTCATTTCTTCAAGAAGCGGCGCCAACGGCATGTCCATGAAAAGCGAGTTAACGAAAAACAATAATCGGCGGCGGGCATCATACGACTGAGGCTCAGCGTCAATCTTTTGCAGAGTCAAAAGTCCGTGTAGGTGATTCAGCACTACTTCGGTGTGTCTTTCAAAGGCGGTCAGCGTGATTTGCTCACTTGTGTAGCTATCGTCCCACATAAAACCACGCTCTTGTGTTAAAATCCACGTTAAACGATCCGAAATGCTTTTGCTTTCGGCGTGAACGGGATCTTGCTCTTGAATGTGAGCCAACATCTCCTTACCTGAATTTAGAAACGTTCGAATGCGCTCACGAATCTGCATGATATGGGAGCTAGGGATTGTATGAGTCGCCTTGTTAGTGTTCACAGCAGGTTTGTGTGTCTGCTGTTGCATACGTGCAATCCGTGCAACACCAGAGCCGCGACTACGACGTGGAGGCTCGAGACCTAACGATGACAGACCTGTGGTACTCGCAGACTTTGTAAGTCTCGATGAAGAGGGCCGATACGAGCTTGATTCGTGCGGAAATTCGTACGATGCGTAGTCAGACGGACTCTTGCGCACAGGGATCACCTTGGCGTTGTTTTTCCAAATGTAGACATTTGATTTCAAAAGAGCTACCAAGTCCGCCAAGGCGCGACCACACGTAGCCACCTTTTGCAAGTTGAGCGCACGGAATACACCACGCGCCGCCCATGAGTTAAAGACGCTGGAGATATACTTGACATCATTTGCATGGCAAGGGCCAAGAATATTGATAAGTACCCAGTTTGCAAGTTCCCAGATCTCTTCAAGCGACTCCTCTACCATCGGGTTGTCAGTAAGGATCTCCAGCAATTTGTCTTGCAGGACACGCTCAGAGACCGTGCCGTTGTCCGAAGAGTAAATGTCAAGAATATTTGACGTGAACTTTTCAAAACAGCCAGCAAGTTGGAACTGAGGCAAGTAAATTTCGCGCTGGTAACCATCAAGACGATGAAAGTGAAGCAGAGACTTCTCTTTGTTTGAAATCAAATCATCAGCGCGCATGCTGTCGATGATAGTGTCCCACGCCACCGAGAATGAGAACCATTTGCGACGACGTGCGGCTTGACGTTCCGAAGGTGTCTGTTTGCGCCGTGAGAAAGACAGCAAAGGAGTCTCATCATCGTGCGCGGATGTGCGACGCTGGGATAAAAAGTGAGATGTCGCGTCAGCGCTTCCCGACACACGGTCAAGGACTTCGTGACCAACAATCGAGCCGTACGATATGCCACTGCTTTCTGAAAGCTGTCGACCAGTTTTGGAGCTTCTTGCGATCACTTTAGCATTAAACGCATCTACAGCCCGACTAAACGCCAGACGAACACGGCTAAAGTTGCGAATTTCGCCAATGTGGGACGAAAATCCAACGAAAGTTCCCGTGAATGCCATCCAAATCGAATTCCAGATGGTGATATCAACGCAGTACACTAAAAAGAAGGGCATCCAGTTTAAAAATATCAGAAACACTGTTGTGATCATGCTCACATTGTTCTCCACATGATCAGCATACAGCAAGAAGCTGGGTACCACAAGCGGATAGATTTCAAACTTATAGCTGAAGTACATCTTCCAAGCCAGCTGAGATGACCAGAAGATTTGGTACTTCACACTCATCGATTCTGGGTCCAGGACATTGTCACCAACGTACAGGCGGTTCATGGGACTAAGAATGTCGCGGACGAACGCGACAGGGAACGACTTTGTGCGTCGTGTCCAATTAGTAAGACCAGGCATCACTTGCATGACACAATTTATAAGGCCAGGTACGTGAAAGAACACTGCCGTGACGTAATAAAATTTCCACCATAGGCCACCATAAGCCCAAGCGCGCCAGTATAGTATCGACGTCACGACCACGAGTACAAGGTGCAAAACCACACGCGTAGCATTACGTGCCATTGAAAATATTTTCTGATGGACATCGTATACAGCAAAAATGTCCAGTCCATCAAGTAAAATGTCTAATAGAAACGGGGTAATTAACGTACTCGAAACGATCTTACACGAGTCTTGAAAATTCATCTCTAGCTTGCTTGCGAACGCAAGCACTACCAAAAAGTGGAACGAAATCACGTGAAAGTTGAAGATTCGATTAAAGGCCCGAAGCGGCAGCAGCCACGTCCGCTTCTCCACGAACGTCTTTGCCGTCACAGTGAATCCTTCAGCAATGCTTCTGCGCTTGTTTAAAAAGTTTGGGCCACTAGATATACCACCTCTGTCATTTAAAGTTCCTTGGCTCGTCAAACCTTGTTGTTTCGATTTTTTCTGCTTGTAAATCATAGCTGGACTGGGCGACGTCATATCAATGACCTCCTCGTGCTTATAGTCGTATTTCAAACATGATGATGTCCAGAAAAACTCATTAAAGTCATCGTAATTATGGCGATCTTCGTGGTCGAAAAGTGAAGTCATTTCACCCTTTAATAAGCCGTAGACTGGCGTCACAACCGTGTCCAAGAAATATCCAGGCTCGCGTTCTGAGTGACGGACAGAGGGAAATTCTTCTTTCATTTTGTGGTAAAGAAAACAGAGGAACTCAGGTGAGTGACGTAAGTTACTAGCCTCACCCCAGATAAAAAAAAAGAGACACAAGTCCACTGAGATCTCGTCGACACTCGTGAGACCACCCTGCGGTGCACGTTGATCGGTCCAGTGCAGAGGCTGGATCCCTAGTTTTGAACACCAATTGCTGTAGTTGGAGAACACCAGATCATGCAGCTTACGATACGAGTTGCCACCGTTTCGCGTATTGTTCGTTAGTAGCACTACAATATGTTCCGTCTGATTGCGAAAGTTGTCGAGTTGAAAGCCAAAAGAGCGCTGGACGTTCATTGCAATGCGAAATATGGTGCTAAACTGCTGCATATTGTGAGACAACTTAGATGGCGAGAAAAAGTTAATTTTATCTTTTTCCATTCCCAACACGTCATCATCATTAGGCTTCCACGATCGTGCGTCCGAACTGGCAGAAACGGGAGAAAACTTGGCCTTGCGTGCACTAATCATGTCATTATGCAGCGTTATACCACGCATACGGAGGTATCCGTTTGCAGTACTAACTGCACTGAGCACGGCTAGCAAAACATACATCGCTATGCAATGTTGAGAGCAGAAACCAACGTGGCCGTCTTTGTGACCACTAAAGATGAAGCCTGCGAGTTCCCATGCATTCTCAGCAATGTCGCCTTCACTAACCCAAAGTGACACTGACATCAGAAACGCCAGACTACCGAGACAACATGTGGACAAGATGACAACATGCTTGACATTGATTTGCGGGGCACTGCCCAGCACAATACCCACGCAGACCAGCACAGCAGTGATTACTCGCGTCGACAGCAATGGCACAAATTGACCGATCATCACACCCCCGTAAAGACCAAGCATTGCCCCTAAGGACACAGGATAGATCAGACAGCAGAGACCGCCAAGTACCAAGCCACACAGGCACGCAAGCGCAGTTTGAATCCAAACAAGGCTTTCGGGAACGCTTGTACTAAGTGCTCCATAGGCGGAAGCAGTGATCCAGAGCGTGCTGGCATACACCGACATCATTTTTGGGTGAGACGTACCACGAAACGCCATGAAAAGACCTATTAAAGCGTTTATTAGAGCAAACAATTGCAGGAGATTGCGGTCCACACGCAGTGAGACATACCAAGGTAGACCATATTCGACAGGGTGAGCGTGAATCCACTCTGACGTCGGATAAGCCACTGGATCACAGCCAACTGACGTATACCGGTTTGGATTGCCCTGATAGACACGTACGTAGTCAATCGTGAAGTTGGAGGGCCAAAGTGAGTTACAGATCTGACCTTCGCAAGGCGGTGAGAATTTTTCCGAGACTGCCGTACTTAAAATGAGGTAACTTGGCTCTACCGGAATCTGACGAGGAGGGACTTCACCAACCCATTTGTTTAAAGCGGAACCAGGAATTTCAAACAAAAAGTTGTTATCCATCCACCACCTAATGTACCCCTCTGGACCAGGCGACCAGTCTAATCGGTATAAGTGGTACGACTTGAAAGCATTGGTTTCAAGCCTCGTCAAAGCCGAAATTGAGTCTAGCCCCATCTCACCATAGTAGTCGCTGTTAATGCGCGTATACTCGCCAAATTTGAGACCTTGGTACCATTGTCCGGGTCCAGGAAGTGTCTCAGAAGCTGGACGCATATCATCGTACAGACTGGGACGAATCTGCAGAGAAGTGGAGATATATGCTGGCTCATCACGCGCCCGAATTTGTGCTTCAATCACATCAATTTCAGTGGCTCCACGCCCTTGAAATGGATTCAAACCGTACATTTCAGGATACGATTTCCTATTATGCTTATCTGTCAGATTGCCACAAGCATTGATCTTCTGTTTGACCTTTTCCACCTTTTCCACATATGGGGCACAAACATCGAAGCTCCACGGCCACGTGCCGTCCTGAGATCCGAGGAACGGTGCACGGCCGATATTGCCCATGATCCAAATGGCAGGCCATGTGCCTGGAATTCCCCACTTGCCTGGCAAAATGGCCTTGACTTCGACGTATCCGCCAGTGTAGCAGAACTTGTTCCACGTCTGGATGCTGCCACTAACGTACTTAGTACCAAGATAGCGATTTTTGGGCTTGGAAGTAGTAATGATTAAGTTTCCCTTGTCAACTTGCACGGCTTGTGGCAAAAAGTAGTGCTGACCCATATTTGTGGTGTCTCGAATGTTGACGGCCGTCCACTTTGCGTCAAATCCAGCTTCGAACGTGCGTTTGGAGCTGTTAAATTCGTCCGAGAAGATAAGCGTATACTCATTATTGTAGCTGGAATTGCCACCAAAATTAAATGGACCCTTAGGTACTGATATGTTGTAATATGTGGGGTCCGTGTCTGGGTCGATCCACTGCCGCTGAAAAGCCGTGAGGTTTTGGCGGGCGCGCTCTACCGCGCTTGTAATAGGCTTGGAGGCCTCGCAGATCGATACCTGCAAAAGCGCCACCAGAAGCAGCTTTAGCTGCACCCTTACATGCGCCATGGTGGGCGGACTTCTTGAAGACCAGCAAAAAGCGGAATGAAGATCTTACGAATTTCACATAGATCTGGGCCGGGTCGAAGGAGATCATACTAAACGGGAATGATTTGTAAACCCGCCCGCGCTGGACAATTTTGGAGCCAACGAGTGGTGACCGACAGCTGGACAAAATGGACCTAAGCTCCACTGCGATCTCTCTTGCGCTTTTGTCCCTCGTGAACACGTAAATACTACCGTAAATTAATGCCGGATTGCCGTCGAGCCTTGAAAGCTGGCTACTCCGTAAAGCAGAATTCGCTCATTTATTCTTGCAAGTCATACGGTAAACATTGTGGGTAACAGTAGCCTGTGTTCAAGCTACTGGGCAAAGCGAGACCGCGACATTTAGAACAACTCGGCTAGCACTAACAAAGATAGACTACACGCGTGAAAGCCAAATTTCTTAAGAGTAAGAGGCTTTAGACACAAAGATATAATAAACGCCGCCATCAGGAAATTTCAGTGTTTAGTCTCTGACACTACTACTGCCCTTTTCAGTACTGTAACGACGTATGTGGTACTTATATACATGAATAGCAATTTCGTTGTAAACTTCACGAAATTTGTACTGAAGTCATTCGGACCCAATCGTACAGTAAAGCTGATTTGAAGGCCCTGCGTAAAAACCGTAGTTAATGAGCAACTCCCGCGTTGTGGACCACATCTCGCTCGATTTCTTGATAACTGCTCCTCTTATCCCCTGTAACTCGTCGCAATCATAACTGCACACTGATAATCAAATTTATGATATAGCAGAATGCTCCCTGTCGCAGAACGCTGAATAAGAAATTACATCACGTCTTTCAAAATTCTGATTTTAATACCGTGAGCGTCAAGTTGCAAGCTCAAATTTTGCAATTGTTGTCAATGCGTCGTCACTTGTCATGGCGTAGCTGGTTTGGAAGCTGTTAACGATATAGCGAGTAGTGCTTTTCAGTATCAACGTCTCGGACAAGCCCAAATCTTGGGGCTGACCAGTTATAATAAATACATAAATTAAATGAAATGAAATTTGGGTCATAAACGTGAAGACGAAATAGCTCGACATCAAATTTAAAATTTGCTTGTATAGTGCTGGATTGTGCAAACGACAATGAATACAATAGTCACCTTACTTTAGCAGCCATAATTGAATCTCCATAGTGGCTTTATCCTACGATTAGAGCGTCTTTAGGGATTGCTTAGCAATAAATGAATAGAGCATAATACCATAGTGAGGAAATGTCTTAGATCAGAGTGCGTTTTTTGACAGCCTTCTATCATTGCCATGGCAAACTTCCGATGACAAGGCAAAAAGTGTAAGCAGCTTAGAGTATCGATAAACAAGAATTTAAGAGCTGGAAAGTTGTGCATTGAAGCCTCAGAAGATGTAAATGGAAAACACGTGTTGATTCACAATGGAAATTAGTGGACAGTATATGTATGTGTGTATGGTGTAGAGATTCCTTACATAATTGTCACGCCAGATGCCAAAGTACGGTACCACGATTAAGTAGCCTGACCAATACTGGTTGGTATGTGTAGGGGAAGCACGAAAATTTTTCTCTACATTAGTTCAGCTATACTTCTTAGAGCTTCTGCTCTAGAATATATAGCTCTAAAGAGTTATTGTGCTCATAATTGTAGCTTAATTAGCTCAACTGCAGTAACTCAGTCTGCTTAAAATAAGACGAAAGGAAAATAATATTTTTCAAGATTATGCTTTGGAAAGAATATTTAAAAAATATACTTTCCAATATACACTGCAGCAATGTCAATGCATCAAATGATAGGACTATCAGATACACACGCAGAATGTGTTTAGGTCGAAAACTCCTACATGTACTGCATTGCGTTGGATAATTAATTACAACTTAAAACAAAACATGATATCACTGCGAGTGCTGCAGCGAGGCTGCAGAAACTTTTTCGCTTAGAGGAAGCTAAGCTAAGATCGGTGGCCTTCATCATAATTTTAGAACCAGTACGAATGTAGCGGATCGCAATTCCCTTACTCCAAGAGTAAACATAACCTTAACCCAAGGCAAATGAACTCTTCCGTTCAAAATGTCAGCTGTATTTCGTGGTTTTATTTGCGGCAATGCCGCCTGTATCTAAATCTGTAGGTTTTCCTCATAGAATAGTAAAACCTAATAAAAAAGCATAACTACTGGCAGTCCAGCCACGTACTGACTTCTTGTTTAGGTGTAGCCACACTATTGTGTGACTACACCGTCCTGTGTAACCCAGACCCTAGTATGGTCACATCATCTTGCGTGACCCACGCCTTCATACCAGGGTATGTGTGATCCCGTCACACCCCATCAAAATTGTGAACACTCACAATTCACATTTAAGTATCGACTCGTACATGGCTCGTGTGTCTAAGACACCTCTACATCCCCAAGAACTTCTGCACGCATTCTCTGCTCAATGAGCCCTGTGTCTAGAACACGAAAGACACCCAGCCTCGCTTGTTCTGAGAGCGCCCGCAGGCAGAACTCTACTTTGTCTCCAGCACACGGCGCAACTTCGGACAGCACGTTTACGGCTTCTAGGGAAGCGCATCCCAAGCTCTCGGCAACAACACCACGCACCGCTCCGCCACGGATGACAGATTACCTCGTCGAGGATTTGGAGGAAGTCGAATACGAGTTGGATGCTTCTTTCCCAGAAAAGGAGAGCGAGGGTGCAACTGCGGTGCGACTTGAGCCCTGCTCGAACCTTGCGGACACCGTGTCCGTTTCTCGACCTCTCGACTTTCGAATTGAAGTGGTTTCACTACCAATGACCTAGATAAGGCACAAAGTTGGATACTGCCCGCAGGGCGGCTATGCGCGCGCATCTACGGTCGATTCTATACCCTCGACTTTGCGCTCAAAGAGAAGCCGCTCCTGTACCCGCGATGTGGACGAATTTTGTTAAGCTTGCCCCTGGCGAAACCGCTGCGGATGACGAAGAGCTCTCTGAGCGACGGGTGCAGCGGCACCGGAAATTTTCTTCGCTGTCCAACTTTCAGCGAGGCCACAAAGAGGTGGACGTGCGCGTGAAGGTTTGCCAAATTTAAGGCGCTACCGACTTTTGTCGTATTGTCCCCCTGCGACGTATGAATTAGTCCATCACGCTTCCACGGGCTTTGTGGTCTCTTACCCGGGTGAGTCGACGACCATAGCAGCTCGGGGCCATAGCTTGAGCTCAGCTTATGGTCTTTCTTCGGCTTCCCTGGCTATTGCTTAGAAGCGCGGGGCATACGACGACGCGGAACGTCAGGATTCTTCTGATCATCACCTCGAAGTCCCACGAGTTCGTTTGGGTTTTCCCATCACTTCACAAGACATTGGTTTTTACCCTGCCGACGACATCGACCCACAAGACGTTCTACGTGATAGTGGAAACCACCGTTCTCGTCGAGAAGAGTCGGCGGCGGACGATGACGACTTGGTCGATCGCCGTCTGGTGACTCTTGATGCACTTCGAGCTCTTGAAGACATGGTACGTCGAGATCGGGACTCCGCTGAGCATCATTCAGGGGTGGTATGCCGCTGTGCGGAATACCTAGAGAGCCTGGAGCACTTTGTGCACTGAATGCCCCACGTTGAGTACTGTCGCGGTCTGTCACAGCTGCTTTTATCCGTCGAGCAGGCGAACGCGCCGCTTCGTGCGACGGTGGTGCGCTTGGCGCCGTTGTAGATGGAAATCATTGCACTCCGTGCTCAAAACCAGTTGCTGGTCCAGCTTCTAGGTGGTCGAGCGCCTGTGGGCACTGCTCAGGCGCCAACACTTCTGCGTTCACTTGTGCCGGATCTCGGTGCGGCTTAAGCAAGCTCACATAAAACACCGAGTGGGTGCGCATCCGTTTTCAACACTTCTGCGTTCACTTGTGCCGGATCCCGGTACGGCTTGAGCAAGCCCACATAAAACTCCGGGTGGGTGCGCATCCGTTTCGGAAGGTTTAACGTATACGAAAGGCCGTGTTTGGCCACGACCTTACGGAGTATGATAAACCGTGGACGGAGCTTCGTCTTAAAGACAGCAGATATTGTATATGTAGGAAGATTTCGAAGATTTTCTCTACCTTTTCCGTCTGCATATTCCTTCTGTATGTCATGGCTCTCAGCCATCGCATCGCGAACGTGTCATAAGGCACTCAGTCTGGTAGACAAGAAGTCATCGACTTCCTTACGTACAGTGAGGAGGCTGACAGCAGCTAGCCGTTGAGCTATTCCTCCCCACCGAGCCCTGACCCATGGGATGGCGGCGTCAGCAGGACGCGAGGATTAACAAGCCCGTTCACGTAGAACGGCGAGTAGCCGGTAGACAAATGCAATGCATTGTTCAGAGCAAACTTTACGAGTGGCATCACAGACAACACTACCAGGACGAAAGGGGTCTGGCAACGCCAGTATTCGTGAATGAAAGAGGCTCTCTTGATCCCGTCAAAAGCGTCCCGATGCTCGGTTTCTCAACGCCATTCTGTATTCTTCTTGAAGAAATTCGACAATGACCGCGCCATTTCTGCATATTTGCGGTATACTTGTACAAGTAGTTGACGAGGTCAAGCCACTTGCGCAAGTCTTTTGGTTCGTTAGAACCGTCCAGTCTACAATGGCCTTGATCTTAGCGGGACCCGCTCGAAGGCCGCGTTTCTGAATTAAGCACCCTAAAAGGGGATTTCTTCCGCGTCGAAGATGCACTTATCGGCATAAGCATACAGCTTATTCGATCGCACACAGTTG